CTCGGTGCTCCTGCCTCGGCCGTTACCGTAGACCTTCGCTTCCTTTCCACGCGGCCATTTCTGGGTGGCTTGTGCAACACTATCTTCGAGACAACATAACATGTAACCCTGAGGCCACCATCTCCCCCCACCCCCCTCCAGCCTTGTTTCAGGCTGCCTGCTGATGTTTTATTCCAGATCAGAGTACGTGTTCTGTCCATGAGTGGATTTTCCTGCTCTCTGTTTGGCGGCCTGAGCTTCAGACTTCTGATAGACTGGAATTGCAGTCTCATATTTATTTTGTGCTGTTCAGGAGACATGGGTTCTAAATCTTTTAAAGCTTCATAAAATAAATTATCAGTAAAGATGAAGTAGCACCAGCCATACCTGCATGCTTTGTAAATACCGTTGGTGCTTTCTGGATGTCTGAAAGGATTTCTGGGTTCTCTGGTCACAGTACGTCAAAACATGTCCGTGGAGAAGGCTGCAGAGCAGCCTTGGCCGCGTGAAGCCGGAGTCAGGGGGCTTGGCAGTGTGTGGCTGCACAGGTACCACTCTGATGCATGGAGGAAAAACACAGATCCCTATCCCTTGTAGGACGAGTGGGAAGAGATGAACGCAGCTCTCTGTAGGTGTTAACTGCTCTGAAGTGCATGAGACTGTCCCCAAGACTGTTCTGAAAAAGAGCTAGGCTCAGGCAAAGGGGTTGTGATCAATTCGCTCACTAAACTTCCTTCTGCTCCCTCCCTGCAGGCACCCGGAGCGCAGTGCTAAACACGGAAGCCCGCACTGTAGAAGCAGATGTTCTGAGCCGACGCTGCGTCATGATGCGGCTGGTGGATTTCTCCTATGAGCAGTACCAAAAGGCTCTCCGTCAGTCAGCTGGTGCCGTGGTGATCATCTTGCCCAAGTCCATTTCTTCTGTCCCACAGGATGTTGTACGGGTAAAAAAAAAAAAAAAATCCTTTGCCTTTCTGATGGTGGATGCTTGAGCAGGAGCAAGGTTTGAGCTGCTGCAGTACTGAGAGGTCTTGTTATAGTGTGCAACAAATCACACTAATTTTAAAACATAGTTCTCTCTTTGCTTTAGCTGTGCATATTTTTTGCTCTCTCTTACGTGTTTAGCAGGTGCTAAGTTTGCATCTTACTTAAATCCTCAGCAATTCATGGAGATAGAGCCAGAAATGCTTGCTATGGAAACTGTTGTGCCAGTCTACTTTGCAGTGGAAGATGAAGAGCTGCTGTCTATCTATGAGCAAACGCGGGCTGCTTCTGCATCCCAGGGTTCTGCATCAGCCGCAGAAGGTGAGCGCCAACAACCGGGGGAAGGTTTACAGGACGACAGTCCTGCTTCAGCTCTGTCAGCAGTCTGCTGAATTGCATGGAGGATAAACTGGTGTTCTGCTGCCTTCATGTTTGCTCTGTCTAAATGCTCTGAGACTTCATAGAAGAAAAAACGTGCAAGAGAGTATTACTTGACTATGTTTAGCAGTAGAGCTGCATGGAGTGAATTCTTAGTTTCGCACTGTTGCAAGTAGGATAGAAAACAGAACTTGGGTTAAGAGGAAGTTAAGTGGCTATCAGTAGGTTGGTACAACCTGAAGGTTTTTGTGTGAGCACAAATCAATTTAGTACTCCATGTATCTGTCTGTGTGGTAAGTGCAGTACATATAGCTTGATCATGAGGAGCTTGAGGTCTTTTGGGGACAGGTTTTTGTTTTAACAAGTTCAAAGTGTCAGGACTTCAGAATAGAATGAAGATGCATGGTCACTAGGATTTTTTTGTCAATGCACAAACACAAATAACAAATGACAGGGCTCAAGTAGTTTAAAGCTTGTCCTTCCAGAGATCAGTTAGTAAGGGAAATAAAGGAATAGACTTCCCCAAGCTTACTTTTGTTGTTGTTGTCGTGTTTTAGTTTTGTTGCACACAGCGACTGCCAATGGCTTCCAGATGGTCACCAGCGGGGCTCAGAGCAAAGCTATCAATGACTGGCTCATACCCAGCGTGGAGGTGAGTTTTGAGTGGATTTAAACTTGCAGTATTGGTGGGGTGCTGTCTTTTGGGGGCCTTCATTTGGCATTTGGATGTACAGGTGAAATAAGGGGAGGCTCAGTCCAGTGAGAGAAGTGGCTGAAGTCCTCAGCACTGAGGCCACTGAGGCTGGATAGGCTTGTAGGACACGTGCCATCTTTGTCCTGGTGCGCAGGAGATGATGTTCGGTAACACTGGACTCTTTCTTCTTCAGGGAAGGCTAACAGGGCTGGGCGGAGAAGATCTGCCCACTGTTGTGATAGTTGCCCATTATGATTCATTTGGAGTCGCCCCTGTAAGTATTTTTTCCTTTCCCTTTTTTTCTTTTTTTTTTTAAACCTGCACTACACTTCTCCTTTTTTCTCTGGTGTTTCTGCTCCTGTGTTTTTTTTTCTTGGCCCTAGAGACTAGCCACAGTTGCAAGTGGGGTGTGGTGGTGTGCAGGCTTGAAGGCTGCTCTGGAACATAGAGGTAAGTGTAGGATTGTCACCTTGCCACTGTCCAACTTTTTCCTGCAGTGGCTGTCGCATGGTGCTGACTCCAATGGCAGCGGTATCTCCGTGCTGCTGGAACTAGCCAGGCTGTTTTCTCGGCTCTACACCTACAGACGGACTCATGCTGGGTAAGAAACTGCCCTCCTCATGGCAGAATGTGAGCGATTGAAATCAGTCGGAAGGATTTTTCCTCCAGACCTGTAAATTGCTAGAGTGTTACAAGCAGTCCTTTGCTTTGCTTTGCTTCCCTTCCGTGGTAGTAGAATCTGAGGCTCTGTTCAAGCTTCAGGATGAGCGGAAAAATGAATTGGGAACTAGATTCAATCCTCAGGCTGTGGGATCTTTCTCTCTTTGTACCTAAATTGTTACCTAAATATGTGGCATGTAGGAAGCATTTGTTAATGCACAGTTTGTCTTGAACCTCAGGTGGCAATTGTTCGGATTTATTTATTTTTACACCCTTCCCCTTCCGCCCTCACCTCCAAGTCTGAGTAAATGAGTTCTGTAGCTGTGGATTATGCTGTGCTAACTCCTGCCTGTCTTCTTCAATGGGCAGGTATAATTTACTGTTTTTTGCATCTGGAGGTGGCAAATTTAATTATCAAGGAACCAAGCGATGGCTGGAAGACAACTTGGACCACACTGGTGAGAAAGAGTATATTCTAGCAGCAATGCCTCAATTAATGTCATTGTGATAAGTGTCTAGTGTGTTAGCCTTCCAGAGAGAGTCTCCTTCTGTGAGCCTTGCTAGCATTTACATTCTCAGAGAGCACAAGGCCCCATGTTAAGGGCTTGAATTTTGTTTTTTCCAGATTCCAGCTTGCTGCAGGACAACGTAGCATTTGTTCTCTGCCTAGACACTCTGGGCCGAGGGAACAGCCTTCATCTCCATGTCTCAAAGCCTCCCAAAGATGGAACCTTGCAGCATGCATTTCTAAGAGAATTAGAGATGGTAATTAAGAGCATGTTGTGTAGAGGGGAACTTATGACTTACACTGGGGAGATGCAGATCTCCTATAGAAAAAGGAAGGGAGCAAAAAGTAAAGAAAGGATGCACTCTTGAAACCTTTAATATGTGTTCTTTTTGGTCATATGATGTGGAGTGCACCCAAATCCTCATGCCACAGTTCTGAATAGAGCAGACTAGATCGGCAGCACTTTCCACTATGCTTACTTATGGTTTGTTGCTTGCAAAAGCTAAAAGATTGATGTCTGTAACAACAGTAAAATGTGTTTTTAATGGCACTAGCCAGGGTTGCAGCTTGCAGATGTTGGGGGGGCTTACCATCTATAGCCCTAAATCTTCGATTTGGGTGGATCGGGAAGCACAAGATGGGGCTATGCAGTGGGAAGCATGACACCCTTGAATGGCTTGGCCTTTTCCTCAGGTGGTTTCTAGCCAGTTCCCAGAAGTGAAGTTTTCCATGGTGCACAAGAAGATAAACTTGGCTGAGGACATGCTGGCATGGGAACATGAGCGTTTTGCCATCCGACGCTTGCCAGCATTCACCATCTCCCATCTGGAGAGCCACCGGGACAGCCTGCGCAACAGCATCATGGATGGGAGGTTAGATGTCTTGGGGAAGGCTGCAGTTGAAATCCAACCCATAAACCCAAACAGGGCAGTGGTGAATGGAGTTCTCTGGAAGGAAGCTGTTCTTGAGCAAACTGCCCCCAAATTTATGATTTTCTCCCCATCTGTTTTAGGGCCCATGTAGACACTAAGGCACTAACCAGGAATACTAGGATCATTGCCGAGGCTTTGACAAGAGTCATCTACAACCTAACAGAGAAGGTAAGAACCACCCTTCCTGCAGTGCCAGCCAGACTTGTCCTGCCCAACCAAACCTTATTTCACAATCAGCCTGGCTTTTTGCTTTGCAGGGAGCACCTGCAGACCTACAGATCTTCACGGAACAGATGGTAAGCACCGTGTATTTATGTCATGAATGGGGAGAAGGGATCCAGGGTCCATTCTTGGCATATGGGTGGTTGACTCCTTTTCTTTGGTTGTATTTTTCTGTAGCAGATCCAGGAGGAGCAACTAGAGTCAGTGATGGACTGGCTGAGCAGTCAGCCAAGGGCTGCCCAGCTGATTGATAAAGACAGCACCTTCCTCAACACCTTAGAATATTATATGGGCCGCTACCTGAAGGATGTTAAACAACATCATGTAAAGGCAGACAAAAGGTAAGAAGAGAGGTGAAAGAACCAAATGGGGCATGCACACTCAGTTTCCCTCCATTGAATCTTGTTTCTGAGCTGCAGCTGCTCCTGCTCCTTCCTTGTCATGTGGCTACAGGTGATTGCTATTTTCTGCTGTCCTGTCTGTTACAGTCTGTGTTCTATCTTCTCACGTAGAAAGCTGTGTATCATTCCTCACAGCACAGAGGCAAGTCTTAGGTTTGGAGAGAACCACCACTCTGGTTCCGTCCTTCCCACTTCGAATGCCACCTCTCTGAATGCGGGGAAGACCTAATGTGCCCTAGAAAGCTTTCTTTGATTGTGAAGAGACAGATAGATTCCTGTCTAGCCTGCTTGGAATGTGGCAGTTTCATGAACCCAGTAAGGCATTTTTCTATGTGCTCCTGAGAAACTCAGAACAGCATATGTCCTGGATTGCATCCTTGGATTTCTGTCTGTAGAGGAAAAGGGAGTTGAGTGCTAAAATTGGTGCAAAACTGTTATGCAAAGTTGTCAAACTTGCCTGTCTGTGGTTGGATGAATTTCTTGGGAACAGAGGTCTGAGATGTCCTTACTGCAGTGTAGTACAGCCTGAAGAATTTCTAACTTCTCCAGGGACCCGGAGTTTGTGTTCTATGACCAGCTGAAGCAAGTGATGAATGCATACAGGTATGAAATTCTCTTGGACATATGTCAGTTTTGTTTCTGTCTGCGGTGGTACGTGCTCTAGCTATTTTATATGTTTCTTCATTTCAGGGTCAAGCCAGCAATATTTGATCTGCTTCTGGCTGTCTGCATTGCAGCCTACCTAGGAATTGCCTATGTTGCAGTCCAGGTAAGAGAAAAGACTTCATATTATTTGTGTTCAGTATTCATTGTGGGATGCAAGAAGCATTTTAGAATCTGAAATAACAATAATAGAAATGGAAGGAAAAATATCATCTTTGAATTCTGACCACTCTCTTCCTTATGTTCATTATGATGATGTATTTGAAGCCTGGATCTTGAAATAGCTATTGAATATCCTGAAATAGCTATTATAGAATCCAGATGCAATTAATCACCAAAAAAGCAAAACTGAAAGAATTAAGCAAACTTCTAAGTCACCGGTGAAATGGTAAAAGCAATTATCCCGGTAAAGAATTGTGGACTAGTGGGAATCTCTGGGTTTGCCTGAGTCATTTCTGCATTCCTGAAACTGCTAGCAGACATGTTTCTGTATTAGTGGCCAATATTATGCATATGTTGAACACTGAAACTTTCCCTCCCCTTCCAAAGGAAAAGAATTACATAGAAAAAATAAAATCAGTAACAAGTGTGTGCATCTTCATGATGAGGCCTGCACAAACTTTTCTGTAGGCCATCACTTTCTGTAAAACCTTGGCTAACTGGCTTCACTGTAGTAATTCCTGCTAATTCACCAAGTCCCACTCTGTTCTCGGGATCGGGGTGTTAGCTGATGACTCAAGCAATGGATTGTGTTTGAACATTAGAATTACTTTAAGACTTCCAGTTTCCTGCCTAGGTATAACGCAGACATTTTATTAGAGCTTAGAGTTTACTCATGCTTACTTATTTTTCCTCTGTTTCCAGCACTTTGGCCTCCTTTACAAGACTGTACAGCGATTATCCCTTAAAACCAAGCAGCAGTGAAGTAACAAGTCCATCACCTGTTCAGCAGCACTGAGCCACCGGTGAGCCCACCAGGATCCTTCTGCCTTTCGTTGAGTCCTGCTGTTTCTTTTCCTCTCTTCTTTGCTACCCTGGAGAGGGAAGGAAGGCAGAAAGAAAGTGGAATTTCTACTCTCATGCACCTTTTAGGTGCTTTTCTCCTCTTTCTTTCCCTGAGTTGCACCATGTCTGTTTTCCTTTGCTTCGTGGCGAGGGAGAAGCTCAGAATCTTCAGTAGTTCCTGCAGATTGTTTAAACACTGAACAGCTGATTTTGAGCAACTCCTAGGAGCGTGAAACCAGGCCCAACACCTTCATTGGGTGCATGTGTCATATTGCCAGTTTGGGGGCTGAAACTACAGAGCATTTGTTTAAAAAAATGCACATGCAAATTAAAGGGAGAAATAGCATGTTTTCTTACTGCACCTCTTAACTTCTCTGCCTGGCTTCAGGAAGGTGTAGTGAGCAAACAGTGTCTTCCAGTAAGCATCTTGTTTTTTTCTCTTTTTTTGCTGATGCAATAACTCATTCCCTCCATTCCCTTTTAGGAGATGCACTGCAGACAATCTTGACTGTTATTTCAGGTTGGGGAGTGAGGAAAGATTGTTAAAACAGATTCCTGCAGTAGAATTCTTACGAGGACGCCCTGCCTGTGTCTGAGGCTGCATTTTGCCGTGTACTTGATTTCAAGTTCATCATCCGTGAACAGTTTGCTTCTACCACTGCTCTGTGCTTTACCCCTACTTCTTTTTAGTGAGGAGTTCCAGTTGCTGCAGGATCTATGCTGTTCTTTGTATTTAAACCAGCTAGTTATATTATTAGCAAGAGCACCTCAGCTCTTGCTGAGCTCTGATCAGTAATTACTTTAATCTTCATTCCTCAATTTTTACTTCCAGCTGGGTTGTGGGTTTTGGAGTGTTCTGTCATTCACCTGCATCTCAGAGTCTCATTTCATTTTTTTTCCCTCCTCTGTTACTTCTGAAAATCCCTTTTCTGGTCTGAGTGTAAGAGCAAGTTCCCAAAGTGTTTGTTGCTGTCTCCTTTTACATTCTGCCCCCATTATATATGGAAGGAGGCCGGTAATTCAAACATTAATTTTTTTTAATGTCATTTTAAACATAGCTCTTTCTAGACTGTAACTAAGAGAGTATATCTTAGAACTTGCCCTCTCTGTTCTTTTCTAGAGCAAGGCCTTATTTTTGGTTTGCTGATGCTGTCTAGATGGCCAGAATAGTAGTCAGTGCTTGTGCAGAGTTCTGGAGGGCTAGGTAACCAGTTCCAAAGTGTTGTCTTCTGCTGAAGTTTAGGCCTTTCCTGAATTCCACCATCCAGAACAACCAGGATAGTATCTATCACCACTTACTAGTGAGAGCTAGAGGCTCTTTCTGGACAGTGCTGCACTTTGTCTATCATCCCCACCAAGTTATCATGGAAAATATATCAAGATTTTAACTGTAGGTCCCTAGACTAGTCATAGTTCTAGAAGATGTCTGGATTGTGTAGCTGCTGCTTTGCTACTCAACAATGTTTCTTTGAGTCCTTTCTCTACATTCTATTCTGTGCATGTGTGGTCTCTTCACAAGCCGTGGTGACTGCTTTTATCTAAAGGAAACACTTTTTAAAATAGCATCACCTACAGAGGCTGAAGGGTGCTTGTGGGCTTGATAAATGGTGTCACTTTTTGTTTTTAATGCAGGGAAAGTTCAAGCTGTGCATCCTTATCTGCACCACAATTGTGATGGTACACGCTTGTTAGAAAAAGAGTTGTTGTGGCCTGTCACTGTCCTTGCCCTTTGGTTGGGGACAAAGCACTTATTTCCATCCATACTTGTTTCTTTCACTGTAGTTGTCTTCTTGGAATACCCTTACCCCACAGTGTATGCTTCCTTGCTATTTTAAATATGTAATGGCTTGTTCTTTAAAGGATCTTTTCTTTTCCAGGAGAGCATGCGGATGTTTGTGGCTCCCTGTACAATCAGCAGGTACCAAGCACTCCTGAAATACCAGCCCTACAGGGAAACTTACCTTTTGCTGGTCTTTGAGTGCTTACTTGAAAAGTCTCTCTGCATGTATGAACTGTTTATGACGCACTTCTGACAAATGAATTTATAATGACTTCAGAAGCTGATTTCTTATTCTGGAGTAGGTGGAGATGAGCATTGATCACTTGTCACTGATTTTTATGCTCTGTTCTTATAGACTGAATGTATTGTGCTCTGGAAGGGTGTGTGCGCTTCACTGTGTACGTACAGAACAAGCACAATGCAGCAACTACCTGAAGAACTACTTTGGTTTGGAGTGTTTAGAAACTGTTTTAGAACCCTCCACATACATCATAAGCTCCTAGTGTGGTATACATGGAGGTGGGGTGTTTTCTACCTTTCCAGCAGGTTACTTAGCTCCATTACTTCACTGAGAACAAACAGGGAAACCAAAGCAATCTTACTTGAACGTGGCCTGGTGCACATAAACTTTACAAGTAGCGAGCAAGACATAATAGGCCCAGAGCATTCTTACTTGTAGTGGAGACTATCAACCTTGGCTTTCCTCAAGAGAAACTCCAGCCTGAGTCACAAACTTTCACCAAGGCAAGCCATAATGGTTGCAGCTCTGTCCCTGTTAAGGCTGTAGCATTAAAGCAAACACTTAACTCCTTGTGCTTTCAACAACAAACTGCCAACACTCCTGATGCAGTGCCAGAGGCCAGCAGCAGCTATCCAACAGGAGAGTAGAGGTAAATGAGACTTCGCAAACTTCAAGGACAGTGGGGATAGTGGCTTGCTCTCTTCTGCACTAGGGTAATTTGTCCCATAAGCTGATTGAATGCACTTCCTATATCTCTAGCTGGATGCCATAGAAAGAAGTTTTTATTACAGATAAGGGTTTGTGTTTCTGATCACAAGTGTGTGTACTAAAGTGCATCGCCTGCTCAAATCTGAGAGTCAAATTCCAGCTCTCATATCTGAGAAAGAGAGAATGGAGACTTACAGTATCACACTAGTGCCCATTTGGGGAGTGAACCGAGTTCCCACATTGCTGTGTTTTTTTTCGGGAGAAGCTGGCATGGAAGCTTACCACTAATTGCTACTATTCTGCTATGTTTTGTAATGACAAAAGCAGTACTGATTCCATTTTGCAGCATATCTGATTAATCCTCTTGTGAGCATGACACAGAGGTAGAAACCCAACAGCTTTTCTGATGAAATAAAAATTCTCCACCACATTGCAGAAGAGCTCTGTGTAGCTGATTCTTGTGCCCCTCTCTTTCCCGTTCCTTTTTATCAGGAGTTTGTGTGGCCTGGATTGAGGAGGTATGAAGCCACATACCCCCATGTTTGTAAGTGGCTAGCAGGTGACCCTTCTAGCCATAACAGAACACTTTTTGCAGTCTATCTGATTTTACCTGCTGTTCTGTTGCTGCCAAAGTCTGCAGTTTGCAGAAAGCTGCTTTTCTAACAGGCTTTAAGAATTTAAAATCCTATTCCTTCTACCTGCTCCCACCCACAGAGGCAGTAATGGGGATTATATGCAAGTAGTTTGGGCTATTGCAGTTTATCTCCTCCCAACTAAGAGAGGTTCATCATTATGAAATAGATACTGTTCTGCAATATGAACTTTGCCCTTGGAACTTTTGCAGTGCTCAGAGGAAAGACCTTGAACCTGGGAATGAATTAGGTGTCTCACTGACTATGGTGGAAGGAGTCATCACAAACTACTTTAAAACCCTGAATATCCCACAGTGGCGTTTATTCTTTTCAAGTCACAATCTTATGCTGTTCATAATATAAGGCAAAATTTATCCAACTTCTGGACCTTGTGGCCAACCTGTGTTTTAAGTCTTAAGAGCTGTTCAGTCCTAACCTGTGGATCTGAAGTGAGGAGGTGCTACGCTACCTCTCAGTATATTGCAGTCTGGCTTTTCCTCTGGGATTCTTGCTTGCTCTATTCTGTTTAGTTTATATTTGTAGATATTGGGTAACAACTTCAAGGTTATAATCTGGAATGTTTGCAGCTCAGGAAAGAGTTATCTAGTAATATTAACTCATTTATCTCTTCTTGTGCATCATAAAGAACAAATGTCTAATAAGGTGAATATTTAAAAGCTAATGGAAAATTCAGTGCAGGTGACTATACTGTAGTTTTTTTTTTCCGTATAAATATATTAGTATCTAAGTATTTAAACATTTTTCATTTCCTTATTTATCATTTTTTCTCTTTCCTCTGGAAAAATAAAACAAGATTGAGAAGGTTTGATGAGCAGATGTTCTAGAGAAATACTAGTTTCTGCTGCTGGAATTTGCAAGCTCTTTGTTTATTTGAAAGATTGCACCGTCTGCGAAAAAGGGCAAAGCGCTTGACTCCAAGATCAGACATCGCCCCTTCTGTGTAGCCGAAAGTAAAGCAGGTTGATGCAAACGGCTCTGGGCGCCGGGCCGGATCCCAGCGGTTCAAGGTTAGCAAACACCCTTCGTTCTCGTTCATGGGTGTCTGCGCAGGC